CGGCCGTCATTTCACATCAAATGGCACTATGCTTATTGGGTCAAGGACAAATAATTTTGTTCTGAGGAAACCATTAATCCTTTGCCTATTCAACAGTTTTATTCTTAGAAATAAAATTTAGAAGTTAGATAAGAGGAGTTAAACAAACGTGCGAAATCGAACGCCATGATTCCAGTCTTTGATTGGCCACTCTATGCATATGGTGATGACCTAAGGTCAGATTATTACGGACAACATTCCTGGTTGTAATTCATGGATTGGTTTCTTGTGTTTCAGTCGAATTCACCAAAGTCAATGTCGAAACTTTCAGAGTGTTTAATAAATGTCCATTGATATTTTCTAGTTAACATTGACAACGTCACCTTCATAAACCTACCCGTGAAGATTCTGGTTAGAATTGGTTTTCAGCAACCCATGCTTGTTGTAAGGCACGACTAACGGAATCGGGAGTCAAAGGCTTGCTGACTTGGCTGACAGCCGCCATAGAGCTGGAATGTAGCTTAATATACAGCGTTAAACAACAAAGAAAGACTTGATATTGGACAGATATGGTGGAAATATTGGACAGATATGGTGGAAATATTGGACAGATATGGTGGAAATCTTTTCGAGAAGGGTCACACAAGATACGAGTAGGAAGCATTATGTATTAAAGCACCACTCCGACCATGAGAACAAACAATATATTTATCGATCACATGCCAGAATACTGAGGTTTTAGAGTGTGTAAGGATGAATAACTGTTGTTGTTTTAACATGTACATATATAGCTGGCTGTTCCTAATTATTTCATTCACCTGATGAAGGACTAAGAATATACTTCGAAACGTCGTGACCCTTCTTAATAAAGAAGTTGACATCCATAAAATTCTTGCCTTTAAGTACTTTAGTTGTTGTATTTCACGACAGTAATTAAAGTGGACAAACGTTTTCCTGTATGTAATGAAACCATAATATCCTTCAAAAGTTCCACTTCAGTTCTAACCTGCAATCATTTATGACATCTACGGTCTGCCATCTGAAATCTGACGCAACTAATTGATGTTTATGACATGACAATAACCATGTCAGTTCCCAGAGATGTCCAACGTTAACTGACAACATGAAAGTGTGGGAGATCACGGTCGGATTTATTACTGCAATCAAATCATTGGAAGAACATACATGTACGTATAAACAAAAAAAACAACAAGGACACTCGTCATTCCGGCGCCAAATGTTGGGAGAATTAAGGAAGACGAGAGATCGGTTCTATGCCAGGGATAATTAGTGGAGATGATCAGAGATGGTAATTCGTATCTTGATATGAACGTTAAACATGTACATTTCAATGCCTGAAAAAGAAATGTTCAAAGGAAGCATTTTCTCATTAACGTAACTTCATGCAGTGAAGTCTTCTACACGCTGGTCCATTTAGGAGAATTTCAGATTAACTTGTATCTTTGATATTGCAGGATCGCGTGCTTCATCCTTGATAATATCCATACAATATTTTATAATCGTTGGTTAATATCGTCGAAGTCTACTCAAGTCAAGGGATGAACCGCAGATTTAATAACAGGGAGGGTATTTATTACCGAAAGTTTACTTCAACAGTCAGGTCAAAGTAACTTCAGGTTCTATTTTATGAACCTGATGAGTTCGGTCGAGTTGACATGTTTTGTATTTTCAAAATGTCAAGCTATCCCCACTGTCCTCCCTTTGCAATTAAACCTTAATAACGCGAAGCCTGACGCAGGATTGATATACAAAAACTATGAAAGTTGAAATTCTTCGGTTAGATATCAAATAGATCAAGGCAGCAGTTCAAACGTTACATGTTTCGTCTGAACGATAAAACGTAAACAGCCATCGATCAAACAGTAAGACGATAATTGGGAATGAATGCGCCATGGTCAAATATCCCACTTCAGAGAATAATGTTATGGCGAAGTCAAAACAAGATCAAGTTACATGTTCAAAGGTAATATTTACATGCTACTCAAAAGATATTAAGGACATTCATATTATTGACTGACTTCAGTAATAGGGAAAAACTGGGGTCCGTAATGTACTTTGTGTAGTATATTTGCTGTGTGAAGTGAATGATGTTCGGGACTTGAGCAGACATGTAACCAGAACTTACGAATGAGTTGGATTAAAGCCACTACATCAGTTCTATGAAGTGACCTTCAGCAACACATGCTTTTCGAAAGAGGTAAATGTTTGTCGTAAAGGCGACTAAGGGGATCGGGTGGTCAGACGCGCCGGCTTGGTTGATGCATGTCGATAGATCGATGCATGCTCATGATGTCAATCACTTGATTGTCTTGTCCAGGTTTGTTTATTTACAGACCGCCGTCATATATCTAGACTCATGCTGGGCGCGACATTAAACAACAAACAATTATTTTCGGTGTGCCAGCCAAGGACAGAATGGCCAGAATTTAACGGTCTCGTCTTGCTGTGTGCAACTTGATATGAACAGTAGTTTTATTCGTGTCATCAAGTGCCTGTTAAATGTGGGAGGAAAGTCCGAAGTAATGCAGAACACCACACTTTTGCAAAGTAAAACTCAGAAACTCGATTTTCTTTTGGGATCATCGGATCGGATAGTTGCAGGGCCCACAATTGGTAATCTGTCCAAACCAAACCGAAAGTTGATGGGCAGCAACTTCCATATTCTGAAGTGTAAAAATTGCAAGATTTCAGACCAAATTTTTCGTTCAAATTTTGAACTTAATCTAACTCATATGCGACGAAACACCATAATTATTGTAGTTTTAAACACGGAACAACGATTACTTTTGATATCATTTGCCGTGATATAGAGACGAGTCCGAACACATGTGCTCTTCAGTGTTAAAACGGCATGTCATACAATTTCATTTAAAAAGTTATTTTTGGATTCCATATTGATCTTTAAGAGATTCCAATAGAAATCTCACTTCTTGCTCAGTATTACCAAATTATTTGATGGGAGCTAGACGACTGCTCTACATGCTATGGATAATCCGATTCAAGTCCGTATTTGTCTTTAGAAGGGTTCAGGAATATTAAACCTGTCATTTCCTGAAGTTTTGGCCCGTTAGTTGTAAAGTGTGCTTTGTATGGATGTCGTATAACCTGATCGGTTTCATTGTCTGATAAATATTGGCTTGCTCAAAGCGGTTCCTTTCAGTGATCAATGGATGTCGGATTGTCCAAGTGGAACAGGACATGGCTACGACGTCGCGGCTGAATGGACACCTCGTTCAGACCCAAAAGAAACTTCTGTATCTGACCACCTTATTTTGTTATCTTCTTTAAACCCGTAACACGGACGACCAGCGTCATTTGTTCCCCACAAACTGATTACATGTCACGGTAATGAATTACCCAATTGATGTATGGTCGACGTGGGGCCGACGTATTACGCCGTCATTACAGCGTCACACCGTGGCGGTGGAGCATCACCTGGCTCCTTTGATGTACTCATTTAAAAGTCATGAAACGCTGGAACCACCATCAAACCTTACTTTCATCCCACAGACGTCAATTATCTCGTATGAAGCCTAATTTTGATGGCAATAATGTTTAACATGTCTCGTTAGCTCGTGTTTGGTCGGACGAAGTGAGTGAGTGAGTGAAGTTTTACGTCACTTTTAGCACTATTCCAGGAATATCACGGCGGGAGACACCAGAAATTGGCTTCACACATTATACCCATGTGGGGAATCAAACCTGGGTCTTCGGCGTGACGAGCGAACGCTTTAACCACTGGGCTACCCCACCGCCCCAACCTGTATATGAATCATGTAAAGATTTTCCAAACTGGTGCTCCCTTTACCATCCTCTTTTGAACTTGAATGTATCAGTGCATTATGTTTTGTCGGCAGCACATACTGAACACTGAAAACGCACAGTCAACTTCAGCTCTAAATAAGGATTTTTAATCAGTATACTATACCAATATCATCTGCAATCCTACGACGTCGTTGTGTTTGATTGTCTCATGCCTCAATACCCAGAACTTCGTTTGACCTTTGCGGCCATTTAGCAATGTATGATAAACTCGAGTTTTCAAAGTGTTTCAGTTAATTCAAAATTGATTTTTAAACTACATATTTTGACACAGCACACTGCCATATGCCATGACGAAGAAATGTGTAATTGTGTAACTTAATTATCAAATTTAAAAACAAATACATTCTGAGGAAAATTGAGCTTGTAGCAAACGAACAATATGAATGAATGTAATTGAAGATTTTTCATAAAGCCTGACCTCAGCACACAGGATGGTGTGTGTGCTCGCATAAATATGTTCAACGTGATTTGAGTTGTGCTCTGCAACAGACTGTGACGGAACAACCCAACCCTTCCCTCTGTTCCCCAATGTATTCGTTGGAAACAAATACGACCCTCTAGTTAGCAATTACCGCTCTTTTTACTACAGCGAGTGCAAAATAACAGTTTAAGACGACAGCTGAGAGTCGACTGTATTTAAAAATCAGTCTTCGTCAATACTTGACAGACATGTTTATGACAATTGGCGTGTGGCCAAGTTATCGTGATCACGTGGCAAGTCCAGTGACGTGTGGTGCATGTCGTATAACGCTTCATGCTACATTAACCGTCTCGGAACTTTTATCGCGCAGTGAGCACTGTGTAACGCCTGAGTTTGGGACCATCTCAACACCATTCTACCTATATAAAGGACTTTACATTTGTATATGTCTGTTTAGAGGTTAGACTTGAGTTCAAACAAGAAATTCATTTGAAGAAAGTGTGTACGAATTTACATTTAACATTGCCCGTTGCCTCTTCGCCCATATGACGACGACAGAGAACAGAGCGAGTGAGCCACGAATGTTAAAATGTGAAGATCCGGTTTAGAATTGGTCTTCAGCAACCCATGCATGTCATAAGAGGTGACTGTCATGACGTAGTAATTTTTCGATACAAGGTTCCCCAATTCCCCTCCTTATATGGGAATGTTTAGTGAGCATCTAGACAAACTTGGTGAAATGTGTTTTAATTACCTTATTCAGCTGCAAGTCACGTGTCCTGACTCCGACGTCTTCATGGCTGTTGTGTAGATGGAGAGAGGGAGATCTGGAAATATACTACAACACCTTAGAAGCGCTAGGTATCTCCGGTTTGGACCATACTTTTGAGAATTGTCTTTGGATTCAAGTGATGCTTAATTGATGCTCATGTGTTTCTCACAACATCCAAGTGAACTTCCTACTGCTGGATCTGACACTTGCCATTTTCATGCGCGTTAAAAAACCTGGAAAAAATGGCCTGGATTAGAACCCAGGACCATTGGTACCTGGAAAGATCTTAGCAACTCAACTTTGAACTTAGTCACCATACAGACGACTGACTGACTGACTGAGTTTGGTTTTACGCCGCTTTTAGCAATATTCCAGCAATATCACGGCGGGGGACACCAGAAATGGGCTTCACACATTGTACCCATGTGGGGATTCGAACCCGGGTCTTCGGCGTGACGAGCCAACGCTTTAACCATTAGGCTACCCCACCGCCCCCCATACAGACGAATACATCTTACAGGGTTATAGACATCAGACAACGATAATGCGAACAATATGTCGGGACCGAGTTGTTTTACGCTGCTTTTAGTGTTATTCCAGCCATATCCCAACTGGGAACTCCAAGGATGAGCTTCACACAGTATAACCACTAACAATGGGAAGGGTCTATGACCTCACGAGCGAATACGTTTATCAACTACCACATCTGCATCAAAAATGTTTTGAGACGCCCCCTAAAGGTGCGTCACCCAGACCACCTCGCGACAATGGGGCTACAACAACACGTGTCCCTGTTTTTAAACTACGATTTCACAGTCGCTTCATTATTCCGCTATCTTTGACATTCTTCTCCCTTCATTTTGTTCTGAGTTTCCGAGACGTAAATAATTCAATCCAAATGAGTTTAATCTTTATAGTAAATGCTCAAACAGACAAACAGAGTGCAGATTGTCCCCTGTTATCCCGTTAAACCTTTTGTCAATTTGTGGGGAAAAACGTTCTACAGAGAGGGAAAAACTTGGAAAATGCACAATTACACGAAACGGTCACAACTGAGGCATGGCGTAACAAACGGCTGCACATGTAGAGGTGCTTTTTCTCCTGAAATCTCAGAGGACATTTCTGTGACATTCACATGTAACGAGCAAAAAGCAGGAAATTTGGCACGAAGAATGATGGATGCTGGAGTTATTGGAAGCGCCCCATGACTAAACCACGATGAAACACTGACTGGGTTTCACCACGTCTCCTCAGGCCAGTCAGCGATGCTCTGTGACAGGCGTATATTGGGTATAGCCACAACGGGTTTGCATGGAACTGGATATGTATGAGAACACACAACGACACTAGGGTTTTGTGTATGGTAGGTGAATATGATTTGATGCCGCTTTTAGCAATATCACAGCGATTGACAACGGAAACACGATCCACACAGTACACATGTGGGGAATCAAACCCAAATGACGAACGCTGTGACATCAGGGCCACCCTTACCGAGCCTGCTACATGGACAGTATTAGATTTATTTCTGAAATAGTGAGAGTTTAGTTTTACGCCGTTTAACCAATATTACAACAATATCACGGAGACTGACAAAGGAAAGAAGCTCCACACATTGTACTCATGCGGGGAATCAAACTCAAACCGTCCATGTGACGAACGAACGCTTGTACATCTTGGCTACCTTATGTGTACCGTCCCTGCTGCATGGACAGTGTGGGACATATTCTCGGAAATACAACTAATCAAAAACTGTGCATTCATTAATCGTTTTAATGTTTATATGTTATTTACTGAAACACACATGTTTTGTCCAAAAAATGTTCATTCATTAATCGTTTTAATGTTTATATTTTACGCCGCTTTTAGCAATATTCCAGCAATATCACGGCGGGGGACACCAGAAAAGGGCTTCACACATTGTACCCAACGTTATAGTCTGTTTGCAGTGAAAACGTACCGATTTTCACTTTAAACGGAAAAGTAAATCAAATAAAGTGAAATTAAGATTGCAAATCCTCATAATTTTACCTTGCCATTTGAAAATTTAAATCTCAGAAATTTATTCAACTTAGGATAAAAGTTGTTTAACAAACGATCATAGTTTGAAATCGGTATTATTGGTTTGTATTACAAAGGTGAATGCACATTAAATGAAACACCGAGAGAAGAAGGGTTGGTCAAAGGTAACGCTCGCGTCACACATTGTTTCACTGTTCCAACTACTGCGCTTACCCCTTGTAATACATACCAATAGTTTAAGGTAATATGGTTGATTCTAATTTATTTCATACATGTATCTCCATTTTTGGTGAATTCACCGGTACGTTGTCACTGCAAACAGACTTCAAATTCAGACTCCATCTTCAAACAGACCTCTAGCAGACTGTGTGTCAGGAACCATATCTCCCTGAAAACGGTTATAATTTTGACAAGTAGCCACACACAGTTTTTCTGATAGATCAAAGATTTACATCTCTATGCACTTTATGCGCTTTTAGCCATATTCCAGCAATATCACGGGGTGGGGTGTGGGGTGTGTGTGTGGACACCAGAAACGGGCTTCACGCATTGTACAGATCTTCAGATCTTCGGTGTGACGAGCGAACGCTTTAACCACCACGCTACCCTACCGCCCGGCGTCTAAATGGAACGGATATTCAGCCTCGGGTTGATCATTACCTTGCTCATAATAGCAACCCCTAGTTTATCTGGTCCAGACTGGATTATTCACATACAAACTGACAAACTGACACAGCTGGAACATTGCCTTTGTGTGTACATGCACACAAGCACAACAAACAAATCAGGAACTAATTTCGAATGGCCGTGCGATGAGTGGAACACAAGGCTAAGCTTTTCTTGTTATGCAGTATATAGTGTACACCTATTTTAATCTTTTAAAGGAATTGTAAAGATTCATACCTGTAACAGATGTGGGACACATTTTGGTGGTCTTGTGACAGACGGTTGTATCTTGGCGTTGCACTGACGCCTCTAGGTCACGTGACCTGCCACCTCTGCACGAGCTGCACGAGCTGCACAGAGACCACGATGCACCGCTCACCACTAAAGTTATGGCAGCCTGGCAGGACTAAAATTCCAACAAATAATTGTACTGCAAAGGGGAGAGTGCATGCGTTTGGATTTCACAATGCTTATTTAACATATATCTGTCGAGTCGTGTGAATGTGAGTCTAATTGAAACAATAACTTGTTGAAATCTATAAACATCTACAATATACAACTGTGTCGTTAATTTTGTGTCTTCCGAAGGGAAAATATTTTAAGATTTGTTCACATAATTTGTCGTTCATTATCTTTATAAAATGTGCCATTTTGAGAAATGAATGCATCTTGTCTTGCTCAAGAATGTTTCTATATTTTTCTTTCAAGTTCTGTATATGACGCTGTTAACAACAACCCGTGAAGATCCGGGTTAGAATTGATCTTCAGCAACCCATGCTTGTCGTAAGAGGCGACTAACAGGATCGGGTGGTCAGGCTCGCTGACTTGGTTGACACATGTCATCGTACCCCAAATGCCTAGAACGATGCTCATGATGTTGTTCACTGGATTGTCTAGCCCAGACTCGATTATTTACAGACCTCCGCCATATAGCTGGAATATTGCTGGGAGCGGCCTGAAAGTAAACTCACTCACTCACTGTTAAAACATAACGGTCAGTTATAACAACGACCCTGCCAGACAGGGAGAAGCAACTCACCATAGCGAGTTCGGCCCCTCAGACAATTATTTTACCCCCATCCTAGCAATGAGTGAATTTAGTTTTACGCCGCTTTTCGCAATTTTCCAGCAATATCACGGTGCGGGACACCAGAAATGGACTTCACACATTGTACCCATGTGACAGGAATCGCTGTGACGAGCGAAGCCTTTAACCACTGGGCTACCCCACCGCCCTCCTCAGCAATATACAATCATGATATAACATTATTAAAGACCATTCCTGCTGCACGTTCACAGTATATTACATTAGGACGACAGTCTCTTTTGTAATGGGAATATTGCTGAGTGCGGCGTAAAATTAAACTCACTCACTCACTTTTGTAATGGCGTCGGGCGGGGACTTTCCTAAACACGCCATTTATGTCCTATCTCTGATGGACGGAACAAGTACGGAGGAAGAGGGGAATCCCCGTGAGGAATCGCTAATTGACGATTTAAAGATAGCAGAGACAGAATAAGAGTTCCGCTCTGACGCTGGCACTGTTGGACTTCCCAGTTGTCTGTTTGCAATGGGGGAACAGCCAAAGCGACCAACAAACCATATACCAATTTGGAAATAAAGTGTGTCTAGGTTTCGTTTAGTGTGCATTAACTGTTGACGGCTCCTTTAATCTTCCCTCCACCCATGGCCGAATACGACATTTATTTCCCTAACCATGACGTGATGAGATGACGCATTGTTTGGAATATCACAAAAAAGAAAACTGTACCGTTTGATGTGACGCCATGTTGATGTCATCTGACTGAATGAAGCCGTTCCACCTCAGTGTTCATTAACTTGGATCGTCCGTTTGAAGTTTTAGGTAAAAATAAAAATTAGAGAAACATGCGTTAAAATATCAGATAACTTGCCTGTGGGAATTCCAGGTGTAATAGGGTTCAAGTGATTGAAGCTTGCTGCAAGAGGCGACCCAAACAACTTCTGATTTTCATGCGAATGTGTCCTTAGAAATTGGTACTGCTTCACGAAAATAAAAGGTATTCTGCCTCGGTTTTGAGACATGTGTACACAGAATACAGTTCTGTGTTAAAAAAAATAGAAAAAAAGAAATTAAATCAGACAATAATTCAGAAACTGGGCAATAACTAAATGCTGAACTCAAAGCATAGAACATATACACACACAGACACACATCTTTGAAAGTCAAAAGGCTGCTCCCAAACGGGCTATGGTCAATTAGACTGCATGCATGCATGTCGTAATCATTTTGAACATTTCACTTCACCTCATCTCTTTGTGTGTTGGATACAAACATAAATATCCACGTCAGACACGTCAGACATCGTAGCCTGTTGTTGCATGTGGGGCTTGATCTCATCTCAGATGTGTTCATGCTCGGGGAAGGAACATGCTCTCCTTATCGGTACTATAAGTCAAGTATCTTCTGCCACTGCACTGACATCTCGGGGAATCTCGTGGATTATCGTGATATACAGAAAGGTGCACCAGGGGTACATTCCGTGGAGTGCCTTGACCCCGGGACAGACGTAACAGACGAGATTTTATTTTTATTTTATTTTTTTAGTCTTATTTCCAGACGAGAGTTTGTTGAAAGAGGACAAGGTCAAACGCAGGATAATCTTTTCCGTGTCGAGCTTTACAAACAGATCAGTGTGGTCCCTTGCACAAATCTCACCTATTCATCCGAGTGTCAAAATGTTAGAACATGTACAACTTTCTACACAGATGTTTTCTACCAATTTGTCAGTCAGATATATTATTTTTCCACGGCCAAAACAGCCTTCATCACCACATGCTTCGTTGTATTGCATCCATCACACATCAACCATCAAGCTCCACCTTCAGCTTGGTCCAGATTCAAAGATAAAGTCATCCCCGCATCACCCTGTGTACCATCACCACCAGTACAGTGTACATCACATCATCATACATCACTGACAGTGTACATCACACATCATGTACATCACACTACGTTTGGTTTACATCACATCATAGCAATATTCCAGTATATATCGGCGGGGTACCTCACATCATCTACATCCAGTACAGTGTACATCACATCATCGACATCCGACAGTGTACATCACATCATCGTACATCCAGTACAGTTACATACATCACATCCATCTACATCATCGTGTACAGGAACTAGCTACTGGACACGGAGCGGTACTTCTTGAGATTCCGTGTTCACATTAAGTGCCAAATGAATACGACTATTTCAAAGCAATATCGGTTTGGTTATTCGTGTTAAGTTTAGGGAAAGTATTTATCAACAAATGGTTCCGTAAAAGCTTATCACGTTTACACACGTCACCTATTGCATAGCCAAGTAATGTTTCTCTGTGCATGCTCACGATGTCTCTCCAAGAGCACATGTGGATATGCATCAAGGACTATGATACAGAGCTGCCCAGATTATGTCAGGCATTTGTCCACACCCACTAAGATCGTAAACGTACTAATACAATTATATTCATACTCATGCTGTTGTTCCATGCAGGATGAGCTTACTGAACTCACTGTGATTGTCATTATTACTTAACATAACAAAATATTCGCATACAGTTAGAACGTGTTATGAGTGATAGCGAAATGTCTGCCGTTTACTTTCAGCGGACGAGAAACTCGAACTTGTATTGCCAAGTGAGGTCTCCGATGGAGGTCTCTTCATTTCAGTAATAAACCATATCACCTTATTCCCTTACTTCTCATCTGATTCTCTCATATAACAAAACAGACACCCATTAAACTCCCATTATATCAAGGACGTCAGTGCAATAAGTCCGTTAAGACATTTCCGAGGAATATTAGTGACGGATGATCATCAAATTTCAGAAAGAATGGCTCAGAAAATCTTTCAGAAACGCAATGGTTCCATTCTTCAAGTGTAATCTCACACCATCAACCCGGGCAGGTGAGAAGGGGATGCTTCGGTTTTAACAAGCATTTCTCGTGAAGCGTTTTTACTCTTTTAACCCTTCAACTTTTACATGTTTAACGGAATGTTACAAGTCAAGCCGTGCTGTCCTCTCCGGAACCTGAAACCTGAAATACTGGGGAAAATCGCAAATTTGGTGTCAGATGTTGTAAAAAGTACAACTGTAGTGAAGATCGGCGGTGGTGATAATAAACCAGGATCGAGGGTTGAGAAGACATTGCGTCTTAATTTACGTAAAATCGCGCCATTGTAAAAGACAAAAGTGAATTAATTCAGAACGTTTTGCAAAGATAAATAATTAATGAATAGTGTCACAAAGACGAGGAGCTTGTGCCAGAGACATTGTGTTGTTTGTCGTCATTGTTTTATCAAGAATCACTTAGTAGAGGTAAAAAATGAGAGTCATCACCTTTGACGTGACTTTAATGATCTTCACAGAAGGTCGTTTACTGTTTAATGTCAACTGTTGTGAAACACTTTAGTAGGGAAGTTGACGAATGTGAAATTGAGTCTTAAAAGAATTAACAGACAACATGAATGAATCCCATTTGGCTTACTTCCGCGAAGCTGACTGGTGTCACGTTTGTTTATTGGAAGGTTGTTATTTAACAAATTGTAGGTTCACTGACGAAAGTGGAAAATTAACCTAATTATCGATGTTTTCTTAAAATTATTTATAGATGTTTTTGTAAATTCTACCTGAAAACAAAACTCAAAATTCAAATTTCACACAAGTAAGCCCAGTTGATATTTGAACCGTTTTATCAACACCAGATGGAAAGGTAAATATATATTTAACCCAAGTCGTTGAAGGAGCAGACAAAGGTCTCGTAACACGTCTTCGCTCTGAACACACAACAGTGTATATGTTAACTGAACATGGTGTTATGTATCTGATATTCAACAGCGTTCAAAATGGTACAAAAACACAAACATGTTCTTACACACAAGGTTCAAAACCCAATAACATTGTCAGCCCTTCCGTTGTGCTGACATAAATGTCAAGATAAAAGTTTTTACATTTGTACTATATACAATTACACGACTCTTTTACATTTCAGAAATACAATTAAGTAATTTATGCTCAAGACCTTGGCTGTTGAACATTTCTTCCAGTATTGATCCATGAACTTTTTCGCGACTTGCATGACGCACCTGTTTAGGGGACCACCTATCGTGCCTATCATCAACAGGCAAATACTTGCTTGGTTATTTTATTATTTATCTTCGTTTAAATAAATTGTTTTGAGTCAACACATTGTGAGATGCTATGAGGCAAAGATACAAATCCCTCTTCTTGCAAAAACGTAATTTCTTTACAAAGGGGGTCGGTATCATGATTGTTCTATTCATGTATGGGAATTCTCTGCCAAAACACCTTTTGTCTCATAACACTGGTTAACTTCCAAAAGTTCGTAGATAACAGTAAATGCGATATTCCTCGGTCTGAAAAACTGGAAA